CCCACTGACTGTGAATTTCCTTAGTGAACAGGCCACTCCTGGATTTCCTTTTCCTTCATTGTTAAAAGCAGAGCATTATGAGGGTCGAATCCAGTACATATCCAGTGAATGGACACTTGGGTTTCTTCCACAAATGCATCTACTTTAAGGACTTAATCTCTATTACTACTTCTGTATAGTTAGATAAGAATTTGTATCATACAATTGTAAATATCAGTCTAATAATTTCCTATAGTAAAGGGTTAGAATCACTTGTGGTCATTCTGTAGAGTGGGGACCTGGGTGTTGTCTTGTCCAGGCTCCTAATAAATCATGATTTCTGAATGCTGGTCCATCTCATCAAATTCTCAACCAGTTGGTCATCATGCTTATTAGATGTGGGGAAAGTTTGCAGAGATTTAAAATGGGAAGCAGAGTCCAATATGCTATTCACAGTTTGGTACTAAATCCATGATTTTTAAGTAAATGTATAAGATAGTGCTCATTTCTCAGGTTTATTACTTTACCTTCCTTGTTTCTTTTTGGTAAATACTCTTACTTTAAAAACTTGTGTTTTTTAATCAGGTTTCTAGCATACTATATGCACTGGCTAGTTTTATGCAAACTTGAAACAGCCTAGAGTCATTTGGGAAGAAAGACCCTCATTTAAGAAAACACCCTCACCAGATTGGCTTCTTGGTAAGCCTAGGGAATATTTTCATGATTAATGATGTGGGATGAGCCAGCCCATAGTGCACGGTGCAACCCCTGGGTGCTATAAGAAAGCAAGCTGAGCAAGCCATGAAGATCAGTTCAGTAAGCAGCATTCCTTCATGGCCTCTGCTTCCAATTCCTGCCTCCATTGATGGAATGTGATGTGGAACTGTAAGTTTGAAATGACTCTTTTCTCCCCAAGTTTTTTTGGACATGGTATTTTACTTCAGTAATAGAAACTCGAAGAACACTACATAATAACAGAAGCCAAATGGAGGAGGAAGAGTGAAAGAAAGGAAAAGACAAGAAAGAAAGAAAGAAAGAAAGAAAGAAAGAAAGAAAGAAAGAAAGAAAGAAAGGAAGGAAGGAAGGAAGGAAGGAAGGAAGGAAGGAAG